CTTCCCATCTGTTTAGTCCTGCTCTTTCATACATTTTTTCCCTCAATCTACCCATTCTCGTTTCCTCCCATTTCTCCCTATCCATCTCTCTCCTGAAATGTCTCAGAAGTTCATTTTCCGCCCTCTTAATCTTTTTTTCATACTTAATCACCCTTACTCCTGCTTTCACTGCTATTCTTTCCACCTTCGTTTCCTCCCTTATCAAATATCCCGGTACACTTAAATCCAGTCCTAGTATATTCCTTAAGTAYCTCTCCTGTATTCTTTCCAACTCCTTCCTCCCCTCTATTCCCCAAATTTCCACTGCATACATGAATATACTCTTTACCATCGCATTGAACATTATCATTCTCCTCCTAAAGTCTCCACCAAATTTCCTCTCTCCAATGCTCCATACTTATACCATAGCTGCTGCTGCTCTCCTTCTTACATCCTGAATATGCGACTCTTCCTTGTTATTGTACCTAAACGTTTATTCTAGATACTTGAACTCCCTTACCTCCTCTATCTCTTTCCCATTATAGAACCACTATCTTTTTTTTCTGCTCCTTCCCTTACTGAACATCATCACCCTCGTTTTTTCCGTATTTACTTCCAGATCCTTCCTCTTGCAATATCTCCCCACGCGGTTTTCATCATTTTTTCTAGTTCCCCCTCCGTCCCGCTATTATCGCCAGATCATCTGCGTACGCCAAGGTGTATATTCTCTTTCCTCCTATCGTTATTCCTCCCTCCTGTCTTCTCCGCAAATATTCCTCTATGTCCGCAATAAATATAATAAACAAGAGTGGGCTCAATGGACACCCCTGCCTCACCCCTTTCTCCGTCCAAAACTCCTCTGTTATCTTCTTCCCTACTCTTACCCTGCTCTTCGTTTCTTCATATATCTTCCCTACGTTGTAAATTATATCTTTACCCACCATCTTTTTCTCCAAATAGTCCATCAATTTCTCCCTATTTACCCTGTCAAAGGCTGCCTTTAAATCTACAAACATTACGAAAAGCTTTCCTTTCTCTTTGTTTATTGCCTTTTCTACTGCCGTCTTCAAAATATATATATTATCTATTCCCCCTCTACCTTTTCTAAATCCTGATTGTGTTTCTGGAATTAATTTTAACCTTTCTGCATCCTCCCTTAATCTCTTTTCCACTATCGCTGCATACATCTTGTATGCTGTACACATCAATGTCACTCCTCTATAGTTACCTACTTCTTTTCTATCTCCCTTCTTGAAAATTGAACATACTATTCCTTCTTTCCATTCTTCTGGTTACCCTTTACCTTTCCATATATCATTTATGATTTTTCTTAATTTCTCCCTAACCTCCCTACTCGCATATATCCACACCTCGTTTCTTATCCCATCTACACCCGGAATTTTCTTTTTCTTCAGTTTCCTTATTGCTTGTTCCACTTCTCCTATTTCTATTTCCCTCGTATCCTCTCCTTCTATCTCTATCCCTCTCTCCTGTCGTTTCCTCTCACCCGTCCCCTCATATTGCTTCATAAAGTGTTGTTTCCATTCCTCCATTGTTATATTCTCTTCTATCCTTTTTCTTTTACCTCTTTCCCTTCTGATGTATCCCCAAAT